GGGGGGGGGGGCAGCAAATAATGCACTGGACTAAAGATTAGGTGCACTGAACCTGCCCAACTGACCTTTGAAGAAAGGCTTGGTGATCCTGTTCATGGTTACGCCCAAAACCTCCCTGCACAGCACAGCCCTCTGTAACCCATGGGTTCACCACTGGTCTGAACCACATCACTGAGTGAGAAGTGGGTGGACAGGTGGAAGGGGGACGTAGGTAAGGGTGGCCTGGTGATCTTGCAGGGGCCCTGGTGGTGCCGTGGCTAAGCGCTCAACTGCCAACCAAAGGCGCAGCCGTTCGAACCTCCATATGAGAAAAGGCCTGGCACTTGGCCCCCAAACAGGAAACACTGTGGGGTAGTTCTCTGCGCCAAGGTGGTGGCTGTGAGGCAGTGGGCGGGCAGAGGCCCACGAGGCGAGTGGGTGTTCGGCACATGAGTGCTGATGGCAGCAGGGCCTCTGGAGGGCTGGGGGGTCGTGTGCACTCCCTTGAGGGGACAGAGCTGGGTGTCAGCTATGGACAGGTCAGGGACCTCTGGTCCTCACAGGATCACAGACCTGCCTCAGGGACGGCTGCAGGTCTCCGGACCACCTACCACTCCAGACAGGGACACCTGGTGGGGCTTGGGACCCGCATTCACATCCCAGACCAAAATGTCTCAGGAAGAAAGGCCTGGTGATTGGCTACTGCAAACCAGCCAGGGGGAGGCCTGTGGGCCACACCAAGTTTGGGGGGGCGGGGAGCACAGGACAGAGAGGGGAACTGGTGAGACCCCGGGCCTGCCTGAGAGTGCTGGGGTCTGGGAGGTGGAGGGGCGCTGAGCACTGGAGAGGTAGTACTGTTGTACTCAGCTACAGCCCAAAGGTTTGCAGCTTCAACCCCACCCAGGGGTGCAGCGGGAGAAAGGCCTAGCAATATTCCTCAGTAAAGATCACAGCTGAGAGAACTAACGGGGCTGTGTTCCACCTTGCCCGAGCCAGCCTTAGCTAACAACCACAGCAAGCTCCTGTGCACGCTCTCTGTCACATACACAATACATGCTGAGGGGGCCCTGGGAGGCACGCTGCCTCACCTCTTGGGAATTAACCATTTCCCACAAGCACCTGCTGGGGTAGCCTTGCTGGGGGGAACGGCTGTGAGAGCCCCGTGTTCAGCTGCCCTTCGCCAAAGCTTGAGGGCCCCCACCCCCACCTGCCTGTACATTTCTGGGTGGGGCACACAGGTGGTTCTGGACTACAGCCCCCAGCCTGTTGAGACCTGGGTTCCAGCCCCGGCCAGTGCCAGCCACACACCCCTTCAAGGCTTCCCCAGGATCTGCCAGCCCCCTCCCATGGTCCCATCCTCTCATAGTCCTCTCCTCCAGGGCTCCCAGACTCAGCCCTCCCTGGTCAACTACTGACTAAACCCACCCTGGTGTGCCTCAGAAAACAAGCCTGGCAGTCTTGGCTTCCGGAAAGATCACAGCCCCGAACAGGTGTGAGGCGCACCTGGGAGAAACTTTCTCCAGGTGCAGCCTAGGATGGTTGTAAACATGGCTGCTTCACCTGCCCAGTCTGGGTGGGCAGATGGCACTCCCACCCACATCGTGTGACCCCATCCTCTTCCTTGGAGCCCCTGCCCTCTGGCCCAGCTGCCTCTACTCAGCCTTAGATCCTGGTCATCTTATCTCGGGACCCAGACAGACCCGAGATGTCGCCCAGCACCCTGCTCAGGGAGTCAGGGGACGGGCCTCCCCTGCCTGCAGGCCCTCCTCCAGCTGGCTTCCCATCAGGCAGCCTACCTTCCTGTTCCCTGATCCTTCCTGTCTCCTGACCCCAAACACTTCCTGGGGAGCCTGGTGTCACAGCAGCTGGGTCAGGTTGGCTGTGTGTACCCACCCTGCAGCTCTGCGGGAGAAAGGCCTGGCACTCACCCACCGCCACCGACCCCATTTCAACTCGCAGTGTAGAGCTGCCCCTGGAGGTTCCCAAGGTTGTCCCTCTCGAGCGCTGTATCCCTGAGTCCATTCAGACTCACCGTGACCTGCTATGGCAGTAGACCTGACTCAGGGTTGCCAAGGCTGTAAACTCTTCCGGGAGTGGAGAAATCTCCTCATTCTCCTACAGGGTGGCTGGTGGTTTTGAACTGCTGACCTTGCGGTTAGCAGCCTGATGCAAAACCCACTGTGCCGCCAGGGCTCACAGCCTAGAAAACCCTTAACAACAATGATGTCTTGTAAAACAACAAAAATCAAACTTGTCTCCCTGAGGCCGATTCTGAGTCATGGGGACCCCGAGTGAAGAGCCTTTGCAACGTCTGCTTATCTGGACCAGAACGAGGCTGTCCGAGGCTCTCTGCTCCCATGAAGACTTGCAGCATGGGAAGCCCTAGAGAAAGTGACTCAAGTCAGCATCCACTGGACAGCCAAGGGGGCGCCTAACCACGTAAGGACTCGCCAGTGCAGGGGGCTGAATTCAGGGCCCGAGTGTAATGGGACATGGGATGGGGTGGGAACCGGGAATTCTGGCTGAGGCTCCCCAGGCCTGTGCAGCGATGAGGGGGACGGAGCAGGGCCGGGAGTGTCCTGTCCTTTTATACGTCGAGTAGGAACAGACTGGCCACTGACACCTAACTATCCTTGCTGCTATTCGGTTCTCGGGGCTTCAGGAGAGGGGGAGGCCCCGCCTCCCGGTCTCGGTCCTCCCGGCAAAGCCACAGCCTCAGGCCCCAGAGGAGCTCCATCCTTTAGCAGGGACGACAGAGCCTGCTACGTCTTCTCGGTGGTCATGTCCCAAGCCCTGTACCGGCACGTGTCTCCCTCCACGTGGATCTGGAAGGCCACGGCCCAGCTCGTGGATGAGAAAGACAGCTCCGCCCATCCCAGCCCTCAACCCAGCCTCCGCCTTGCCCCAGCTAGCCGGCCTGTGTGGCTGTGACCATGCCCCCTGCAGGCTATGGGATGAAGCGTTCTGGACCCAGCAGGCATGTCCACACTGCCGGCTGACTCAGACTCGTAGGCTGGAGGCTAGCCGCCGTGACGCCCTGTTTTTCACGCCTCGAGGACTTCGGTCTCCCACCTGCAGTGAGCACCTTTGCTGTGGGGTGAGAGGAGGTCCGGCCGCCTTCTCTCCCAGGCAGGCCTCCCTGTGGGCCACCCGCAGCCCCCACCCCAACAGCCCGGAGGCCACAGGGTGCGCAAGCCCAGGGACACGGAGCAAGTGTTACCTTGAGGACGAAGCCGTCAGGGCAGGCCCGGTCATACTTGTACACCTTGTAGACGACCAGGAAGACGACACAGGTGAGGAAGGCCAGGGCGAACAGGACCAGCACCGAGACCTGTGGGCAGGAGGGCACCGTCAGCCTGGGGGGGGCGATGGCCGCCTGGACAGCCGGGCGGACACACACACAGACACAGGAGGTAGGCAGACAGATGACCAGACACAGGTGCAGGCAGACAGACAGGTGCAGGCAGAGCCCGCCCCTGAGAAGGAGGCACAGATCGGAATCCAGAAAGCACGATGCCTGCAGTGAGGGTGCCCTCCCCCCAAGGTGCATGGGGCCTCCCTCCCAGGGTGGACAGCCCCTCGTTGGCTCGGCCCCCCACACTGTGTGACTCGGGTGACCGCAGCCTGCCAAGGCTCTGGTCACAATTAAGCCCTGAGGAAAGACCCAGAGCAGCTGGCCTCCCATCCACCCAGAACAAGGTGGGAAATGGGACAAAGGAGGGTCCAGGTGGGCAGGAAGTGGTGCCACCCCATGAAGAAGGGGCACCCATGAGAAGCTGGGCGCATCTGCTTCACTGCCCAGTCATGCCAGGTGCTCGGCAGCACGGCCGTGGTTTTGGGTCAGTCCCCTCCGTCCACTTTGCCACGGTGAGCAGTGCTGGCCCGGGAGCCAGGCAGACCGCACCAGCCCGGAGCACCTGAATTGGTCGGCCTGGCCTCTTACTCTGCCAGCTGTGCCTGACGGCATCGAAGGTAGCAGACCAGTGTCTCCACAGCAGGGGCGGAACCCACAGGGCTGCCTCCCTGGGATGGGGTTGGGGGGTGTTAGGTGCCACCAGGTCAGTTCCGACCCATAGCGACCCTGGGCACAAGGGAACAAAACACTGCCCGGTCCTGTGCCCAGCCATGTTGCAGCCCCCGTGTCCATCCATCTCCCAGAGGGCCTCCTCTTTTTCATCCCCCTCCACTTTACCAAACATGCTGCCCTTCTCCAGGGGCTGGTCTCCCCCGGCAACGTGTCCGAAGTACGTGAGATGAAGCGTCACCGTCCTGGCTTCTAAGGAACCTTCTGGCCGTACTTCTTCCAAGACAGGTCTGTTAGTTCTCTCGGCGGTCCATGGTCCTTTCAACGTTCTTCTCCAGCCCCACCGTTCAGATGCATCGCCTCTTCTCCCGTCTTCCTGACTCGGTGTCTGTCCGTCTGTCGTCCTGTGGTGGCTTGTGCGTTGTGTGAGGCCAGGAGGCTCTGTCCCCGGTACCTCAACTGCCATCAGGGTCACCCAAAGTGAACAGGCTTCAGATATGATGAAGAAGGAACTGGCGGCCCACTTTGGAGGAAACCTTGGGGTGGCCCCAAGGACCTGGCCCCCTGCTTCACCTCATATGTATTCCTGTCTGTCACTGACTGTCTCTGAACCAGCTCTGACTCCTGGAGACAAGCAGGGATGCTGTGGGGCCCTAAAGCCATCTCCACTGCAGGTCTCCGCCCTGTGGCTCCTGGGTCAACCCATCTCGTGCCAGACCTCCCTTGTGTCCTCAGACCCCCAACCGAGCCTGCTGTAG